AGAGAGCCACACTCGCAGCTCAACGCTAACCAAATAAAGGGGAAACGTAAGAGAAAGGGTAAAGTACGTACGGTAATACATTTAAATAAATACCTATAGATGAAGTATAAGTAGTAGTAGGACAAGTATTTACCACAGAAATCAGGGTTAGCAACTAATAGCTAACAGCTTTATATATTACAGGGTTAATAAATTTGGCATGGGGCTTCTTTTTCTTATGTATAAGAGCCTTCTCGATCGGGGGGGCCCTACTGCTAACATGTTATAGAATGTTCATAGGCAAACAAAGAGCTCAAGAGGAAGCACGAGAATTAGCAGTAATCCAAACCGCGCCCACATTTTTATAAGAATTTCAACAAATTTTTTCAGAATTAATGATTTTAAAAAAAGGCGAAATGGGAGTGGTTTCGTAACGTTTATTTTATCTGCTCTAAGCTCAAAAAAAGGAAATGTAGCCATGATAAGACAGAAGTTATTTCTTACTTATGAAAATTTTGTCTGTATTATTTATTGACCAAATTATTTGTAATTCAGAAATCATCAAAGTAATGCGATTTTTTATGACAGGTAGTTAAAAAAAAGAAATATCAACTATAAAACCACTCCGAATAACCCACGCAAACCGATTCCCCCTCTTTCTCCAAGCTGGTCTGGGGACCCGACCCTGCTGCGCAATCGTCGGTAAAAGAGTAGGCTCTTCAGCCTTCCTCTGCTTCTTTTTCCCCTGCGTCTCTGCTCATCGTGCAGGCCGCTGCGTGAGCAGAGAAGTCTCGACCGTCATTGTGAGCACACATTTTGCAGCTTCCTTGAGAAGCCCTTTCATACTAGTGAGCATTAAACCTTTTTTTGTTAATGTTAACAAGCGTTTAATCATTTCACCTTCTTCCTCAATTCCTGGACACGGCAGCCATGGGACTGCCAGCTCAAGCTGACTCATAGGCGACATACTTATATCCCATATTGGTGACCCCGACTGTCTCAAGGAAGAAGAAAGGTATTATTACTTCTTGGAAGATGTAAGCAGCAATTTTGTGCAGTGGCAGCCATTATTATTGCCTATAGAGAGCCAGCTTTCTTGGGGCTCACGCTGACACCTCGTCAATGATTCTCCTGAAATACATCGTCTCGGCCTCTCGACGCCAAAAACACTGAGCCATTCGAGCCACCCGGACGCTTTCAGTACAGCGCTCTTGACCGTTCCAGCCTTGCAGTGTCCCTCAGCTCATCGTCTTGCCACAGCTCCTGCAGGTGCTCATGCGTGACCTTGTGAAGTGCGATTTCACCGAACATTTACAATTATATTGAAGGCGATTCAATAGTGTTTGCATGCTTTGTTCTTTTTGCGTACCGGCTTGATTACTTGTATATACATATATACTTTTTCTCGCGTTGTTTACAATTACAGCCTTTGCGCGGGCCCACGTGAACTTGCGTATTATATGTCGTGTCATAGAGTCCAACAAGTGATTATATAAAAAAATAATTTGTGATTCTTGCGATATGAAAATCCCTAACTGGCTTATTCTAAATTCTTAATTGCGCTATGTGAGTACTTTAGCTATAATGATGTTTTTGTTTTTGTTCAGTTTCTATCCTTTNAAGAGAAAGAGAGAGAGAGAGAGAGAGAGAGAGAGAGAGAGAGAGAGAGAGATGGAGCTAGTTCGCAGAGAGAGGGGGGCAGAGGCAGTGCATAGAAGGGAGTAGTTATCGGTCTCCTTCATTCTCTTATTTTCTTACCGTTTTTCTTAACGCTACACTTTTTCTCGGCTAGATCCTCGCGCTGAACCTGGCATAAGGGATTTGGTTCCAAAAAAAATTTCAACTGTCAAAAAATACCTAAAAAACTATAAGCAAGTTTTTCATTGTAGACCTGACCAAATTATGAAAAACTTTTATATCATAAAAAAATGTTCAAAAAAAACTTTACTTTTTTGTTAGTATATTATATAACTCATAGAGTCCAACAAGTGATTATATAAAAAAATAATTTGTGATTCTTGCGATATGAAAATCCCTAACTGGCTTATTCTAAATTCTTAATTGCGCTATGTGAGTACTTTAGCTATAATGATGTTTTTGTTTTTGTTCAGTTTCTATCCTTTCGTCTGTGGTGTTTGAATTTTTTAAATTATCGTCATGAATCGCGTTCATAAAAAATTTTCATCACTGTAATAATTTGTTACAAAGTATTTCGATCCTGATCCAAAAAGTCCAACCATGAAACTGCAATTTACAGAGTCAAAATTATTGTAAAAAATAGCTAATAGATTACTTAAAAATTACTTCATAATAAAATATACAATACCATGTTTCTGATGTTAGTACCTTTTGCTGTGGAGGAGCGCTCTGGAACTATAACTGTGGTTGATGACATCAAAAATTACGACAAACTATCGTATGATTTGGAAGCAGTCGTCAGCGATGAGAACAGTCTCACCCTCGTAACTAATGTTTCAATACATGTAGTTGATCCAAGTGACGAGAACGGTATTTTCACCAAGTAAGTTAAAGTTTTATAAAACAATACCTCAAAATGAGAGCTACGAACTTTTAAATGTAGTTAAGATTTAGAAATGAAAAATTAGCTTTACGTATATACACTTCAAAAGATTGAAGAAAGTGAAAAATTAGCTATGCATACATAAATTTCTACCTATGTAATATAAAAAGGTTTGCAGTTTTAAGCTTTTTGCCAACTTCAGGCTTAAAAATCTTTTCTGATCCATTTATTAGCCTAAAAGATACAAGTTAAGGAAATATTAAGTTGTTTTTTTTTGGCCTCAAAACTATTATAAGTACATTATATTTAAGCACATCCAGATATATATACCATTTTTGTACCCGTTTAAACATTTTTTTTTGGCACATCCTTGAATGGAGCTTATTTTTTTTGCAATATCATGCACTACGAGGGAAGAATCGTGAAATTGTTATTAATCTATTATAATGTATAAAAATGTATTTTTGCGCTAATCGCGTAAGAACAGTATCATCACCACTACTAAAACCCTAGTTCACAAATTTTGACGTATACAGTACACGCAATTGCAAACAAAATCAGCTCAGTTTTAAGGGTATGTCTCAAAAAATTATTATTGAAAAATGAGGAAAAAAAAACAAAATATTTTTTTGTGGATAAACTCATACAAACTAACTCTTTACAAAAGTAAGTAATATTTTATTTGATAAAGAGATTTTATTTAAGGGACACAAATCTATGCGTGAAACGTGCTAAGTCACTTCGGTAAAGCATATTTTACGACTTTATTCTCTTTGAAACTTTGTAGTTTTACCATAAGGGTTGTCCATGAACCGTGTAAACTCATTTTAACCAAATTTTAACTTCTTCATCTCTTATGATGGCCTATAGTAGCTTTTTACTCGAACTCTATTCACTCAACTGGAAAGTATTTTTTCCTCAATTTTTACCTCAATACATCTTGCATTTAGTGTAAAATTATATTTTAGAAATTACTGTGCAGACCATAAGGTAGGGTGGGGCAATCGGAGCGGCAGGGTAATCGAAGCTTTTCTCAATACCTTTTTGTAAATTCATCTAATTGTAAAAAAAAATATTTTTCAAAAGTCCTGACCCTAACGCATTTTTTTATACTTAAATATAGGTTCTGTTGGGTTGATACTGGGTTTAAACTTCTTATTGTCTTTAATCTCATTTAAGGAGTATTTTAATTGATCGACAATTTGCGAAGATATTTAGGAAAAACTGAAATTGTACTAGTAATTTGTATGTTAAAATTCCATATATATAGCTTTAAGATACACGGCAAGGGACTTGGTTTCTTATAGGTTATTACCTACAGCGGTTATGGGGAGCCTTCTGACTATGTCTATCTCTATGATCTCAGAAGCTTCTTTGGAGGTGGTTGTTATAATCATGGGTAATTTAGTTCTTACGTGAACTTGTTTTTTTCGTTGGAATACTCTACAAGTACGTACTTATTCTGAAATGCTCTCTTATATACCATCCCAAAATATCTCTCACGTATTTTACTATAGACCTTTGCTATCTTTGTATCCTCCTATCAGAGAATCATGAACCTCATTGAGTATTCCTAAACTGTCTTCGTGTAATGAGATAGTAACCTTGCTAGTACAAATAGTAAGTAGTAAATTTACTTTCTTTCAGTGTTGTCGTAACAAATATTAACAAGTAACTAATGAAGGTTTTCTAATCTTTTATTTTGGCGATACTTACAGTAACTACCTTTAAATTAATCACAGCGTTCTTTAATCTTCTCAGACATTCTACTACTGTGAAGGGACCGAAGGTGTGTCTTCTGATCAATTCTTCATGAATAGGAGAAAAATTATTCGTCTGTTGTATGAATCTGTTTTGTAATATTCCAGGGTTTTCAAGTTTCATTTTCCCCATGTCAATCATGTCCAAGTCTTTCAATTGTTTTGCACACAGATATTCTGTCTACTGACATAAAATGCGTGAAACTGTTTTCTCTTAAAAGCAACTGATCTGTCGAGAACTTTTTATGCTCAATTACAAAAACTCATTTTCGGCCTTCGTCCCTATCGTCATGCCTGTCGTCGTTAATTACCTTTTTTTTCTACTCGTCGTCAGTCCGCAACCCTTAACATTTGTATTCCTTTTATTACTTCGTATTTTTTCAGGGGCGTCCCTCCTGTTTCTCTATGGGCTCCTTTGCACCATTTGCTTTCCCTCCTCCTTCCTTTTCTCCTAGCTGTGTCGGCTTGTGTACCAGAGGCAAACCATCAGTACAAGCGCTATCTGTATTCTGGACCATTCCCTCTTCTCCTAGCTGTGTCTGACGTTGCAGACTGGACTCTGATGGTGTCTTATACACCGTCGCTGGATTAAGGAGACTTTCTGAGCCCAGTGGCAGGTGAAAATAGACTCTAGTTCATTGTTTATGCGTATCAGTTCGTAGTTCGCGTATCTCTCTCTTCCTAGGGCGTCTGTTTCTGTGGTAGTAGTTTTGTCAGCAGGCGTGTTTTCTTCAGTTTTGTCAGAGGAAGTGGCGGAAAAGATTGGTTGCATCGTATCTACATAGAAGGACTATCAATTTAAGTCTCGTATGGGGTGTTCTTGGAGTAATTCAGAGTAGATGAGGGTACTGGGTTTCGCGACAGTGCGTCTGCATTGGAGTTTATCTTTCCCGCTTTATAAATAAAGCTATAGTCATACTCGTGTAACTTAATTTTTCAACGTACTGCAAAGTTGGGTCTTTAATGGAATGTAACCAGACTAGAGGCCTATAATTGCTTACTAAGGTAAATCTTTGTCTATATAAATAAGGTCGGAAATGTGTCACAACAAAAACCATAGCGAACAATTCTTTCTCTGTAGTAGTACATTGGATCTCCGTAGAATTCCAACTTCTTCAAGCGTAAGCGATAGATAGGTCTTAACCGATTCCTTCCGAAGTTAGAATGGCTAAGAGAAAGATCGGAAGCATCTGTGGTTACAACAAAAGGTTTAGTAAAATCGGGAAACAGCAAAAGAGGTTGCGTACGTAAAGTTCTTGGATTTTTCGAATGCTTTCATCTTTGGAATAAGCTAAATAAATGAAACACCCTTCTTTAATAATGAATTTAAAGGAATTGTTATTTTGGAAAAGTTGGGAATGAAGCGACGATAGTAACCCACTAGTCCCAGGAATTGTTTAACATGTCTGGCGTGACTCTCCTATCAAAACCGCATATATTATAATATCGTCCATATATACAAACGATTCGATACCTTGGAGTCTGCTTACGATTTTCTCAATTAATGCTTGGAAAGTCGTGGATGCTCCTTTGAGGCCCATAGCCATGTGCTTGAATTAAAGGTATTAAAAGGAGGTGGAGAAAGTAATTTTTGGGTCATCTTTTGGATCCACAGGCATCTGATGGTAACCAGAGGCCAAATCTAGGGTTGATAAGTATTAACATACACCTAATTGGTCCAAAATTTCGGTTGTACTGGGTAATAGGTATGTAGACGCAACTGTCCTCTTATTTAGAGCACGAAAATCAATAACCGACCTCCAACGTTTTTTACCTTGCGAATCAGGCTTTTTTGGGACTATCCAAACTGGGGAGTTATAGGGTAAATCTGATTCTTCAACTATATCACTACTAAATAAGTCTTTCATCTGATCCTGTATCTTGTCGCGCAAATGAGGAGGATGGCGATATTGCTTTCTGGTTATAGATATGTTATTAGTAGTAGAAATCTGATGTTAAATGATTATGATATAGCTTAATTTATCTCCAAGTACATAAAATTGACATTGACAGAATAAAGCCAATTAAAATATGTGGCTTCGCTCCTCCTTATTTAGCTTGTCCAGACTCAAATTTTTTATACTTTTGGATATTCTAGGGTGCTATTCCAAAATTTTTTTGATAAATCTCACTGGCGTTATTGTATTATAGTATGATTGTAAATAAATGGGCAATATAGCAAAGTTAATATTTTAAGATGTAGTGTTGGTAACATAAAGATGAGCCAATCCCCCATTGTTCCTGATAAGACATTGGCCCCCGTAAATTTCTGGTTCAACCTCCAACCTCGGCAAGTACCCATATGTTTTGTCAGGGTTACGAATTTTAACATTGCATAGAACTCTAGTTTTCGTGGGAAGCTAAAGCTGGTTGTGGCAGATAGTAAAAGGTATTGATTGGGGTTCAAAAATTACCATGTGCTCTGGATATAAGATAATGGCTTTATGTGTTTCCAAGAAATCTACATCTAGTATGCCATCGTATGGTATTAGGAAATCGTCAAATACAATATCCGCCGAGGACTTTGCATTATTAATGTTTAGTTCGACTCGCCCTAAAGTTTTGACAAGCCCTTGATTGATTCCCGATAAGCTAAAGAAAAAGTCGTAAAAGACCAGAACGTTTAATATTTTTCGTTTGATTAAGTTTAGTTTGAAACCTGCACCAATAAGTGAATTCGGTGAAAAGGGTCTCAATTCTGGGCTCAGTATTAAGATTTCAGGCAAGTCTAATTTTTACAGTCGGCTAATGGCAATAATATCTCGATTTTTGGCGTGTTCTGTTGGGTTGATACTGGGTTTGCCGCCACGTCCACTCGACGAACTCGATGGAAGCTTAAAGCCTCGCTATCTTCTCTTTTTGTCGGATACCTTTGTTATTTACAATAGTTACAATTATGCCCAAACAAAATACAATCGTTGCAATAATTCTTTTTACATTCACAGACAAAGTGACCGGATCTTTTACAATTAAAGCAATCGCGATAGTTATTATGATGGTTGCTGTTGGAATTGTTTTGATTATTGGCATTAGAAATTACGTCATGATTGTTAGATTGACTACTTTGGTGGGTCTCCCTATAGTTATTGTTACAATTATTTCTATTGTTTACGAAGCAAGCATCCTTAATATACGGTATGTTCCCATTTAATTCAGACAAAGGTTTACGTAGTTCCCCAGATTAATTTTCCATACTTTCAGTATTTTCGGCTGCATTAATTGCAGATTATATATTAAATG